TTGCCCTCTGCCAATAAATTCCAAATTAAGCAGGAATTAGAGAAAATGTTTCAAGTAAAAATAAAAAAAGTTCGCACTAGTCGCCAAAAACCTGTTCTGCGGCAAACTCGCTATTTACAAAAATCGCCAACTAGGATTTATACTAAATTAAGAAAAAAAGCCTTTGTTGAACTAATGCCCGGGCAAAAACTACCTATTTTTGAAGAGTAAAATTAATAATATATAATGAAAACAGTCAGACCCTTAGCCAATTCTAGTCGCAATACTATCCTTATCAATTACCGTGAGAAATTAGTTCCTAATCCGCAAAAATCTCCTCGGCAACTTTTCAAACTAAATAAGCCTCATTCTGGACGAAATAATCAAGGAGTAATTACTACTCGCCATCAAGGAGGAAAACATAAACGATTTTATCGGGTTATTGATTTCAAACGCTATGAAAAGGATAATGTAGAAGGGAAAGTCAAAAGTATCGAGTATGACCCTAATCGTAACTGTTTTATCTCCTTAATAAGTTATCGGGATGGCAGTTTTGCTTTCATAATTGCTCCTGAAGGGTTAAAAGTTAATGATAAAATAACGAGTGGAGAAAATGAAAATGTTCCCTTGCGAGTAGGAAATAATTTGCCGTTGCGTTATATTCCAGTTAACACCTCAATTCATAATTTAGAACTAAAGCCAAAAAAAGGCGGGCAATTAATTCGGGGGGCCGGCACTTATGCGGAAATAATTGGTAAGGAAGAAGGTAATAATTATGTATTAGTAAAATTGATGTCTAAAGAAGTTCGAAAAGTATTAGCAAATTGCCGGGCTACCATTGGTAAAGTGGGTAATAGTGAGGCCAATTTAGTCAGATTAGGAAAGGCTGGTCGAAGTCGTTGACGAGGTATCCGCCCAACCGTGCGAGGTTCAGCCATGAACCCTTGCGACCATCCGCATGGTGGTGGAGAACAGAAGGCCGGAATCGGCCATCCCTCACCGCTTAGTCCCTGAGGAAAAAAAACTTTGGGGAAAAAAACTCGAAAAAAGAACAAGCCATCTAATAAATATATCGTTCATCGTCGTAAAAAATAAAACGTTAAAAAAAGATGGAACCGAGTAAAAACGAAAATAAAAAGAGTAATTATTGAATTGTATTAACCGTCTTTCTCTCGTTTATTGTTATCGCTTTGGTAATTTCTCAAAGGGAGACCACAATAAGTCAAAAAAACATAGTAAGGAGTTTTTCCGTGTGATAATCAGCAAGGGCGACATGATAACGGTAGGAAACAGGATAATCCGACTAATGATGAGAATAGTAATGAAAGCGAGAACCAAGACATTGACCCTAATCAAGATTTTATCAAAAAAGGGTATTCTGATAAAGATATTCAGGAGTTAACAGGTTGAGGTTTAAAAGCGAGTGATGTCCCGGACTTAAAAGCCGAAAAGAGGAGAGGAGTAGTAAATACTTTGGCGGTTGCTGGCAAAGAAGGTTCTTGCGGTGAGTTAGTTATAATCAAAAAAGAATCATCTCATGTCAGTAGCAAAGAACCAGAATGAACCAAAATTAAGCAAAGTAGACACTTTGCTGACACTTCAAGCATTAACGAAACTGTTATTAGATTTGCTATTTCTAAAATAATCAAGAAAGGTTATAATTGAAAATATGATGTTTATGTTTTACAAACAAACAGTAATGCTATTATTTCTGGTCCCTCGGCTGGTTCTGGTGTCTATATGGCTCAGTGCGTGCTATTCTGATTGTGCTATCCCAAAAAACTTGGCTATTACTGGTGAATTAAAAACTGAAAAAAAAGAAATTTCGCCTAAAATTGAACCCATCCCAAAAAAATATCACTGACAGGCAAATCTTTGTGCCCAATGTGGAAAGTATTCTCGAGCATATCATTTTATTTACGATAAAATAACTGGTAAATTAGAAAGAAATTTCCTCAATAATGCGACTAATCCAGATTCACAATGAGTTTTTTGCACCCAACAGTGTTATAATAAATGATGAACTGAAAATGTTTATAATTGTTCTGAATGCTACCAGCAAAGATTTGGAAGTTGTTCCTGCTGTGGCAAAAATCATTCTTGAACTGGAGAAAGCCATGAGGACGAACAATTTTGTTCAAAAGAATGTGTTGATAAACGTTATCCAAAAACCTATGAAGAAGGAAAAATAGTAGCCATTGGTGGAATTGGTAGGAAGGTTAGTGCTGCGGTCGAGAAAGATTGTGATACCATTGTTATTCCCAAAAGTAATTCCTCTGATTATCAAAATGAAGTCCCTTTATCCGTCAGAGCAAAAGTGAAAAAACTACACGAAGTAGAAAGTTATAAAGACCTCGAAAAACTTTTTCTCTCTGACTTATAGTTAAAGTTTAAAATAAATAATATATGTCTCGCTCATTAAAAAAACCATTGAATGTTAATGAAAAGTTGCTTGAAAAAGTCAAAAAAGCCAATGAGGAAGGAAAAATAAAGGCTTTTAAAACTTGGGCTAGAGGTTCAGTAATTAGTCCAGAAATGATAGGTCATACTTTACTTATTCATAATGGCAAAATGTTTTTTAAACGGCAAGTTACCTCCGATATGGTAGGTCATAAGGCAGGAGAATTTTCTCCTACTCGTAAGTCTGGGCAGCACGGAAAAGCCGGAACTCACTAAAATATATAATATAATGTAAAAATGGATAGAAACGAAAAAAACGAATACGAAAATATGTTTAGTAGCAGAGAGAGAGAGAGAGAGAGACGGAAAAGATACTCAAACGTCGTGATAGAGAAAGACTCGTAGAAGAATTATCTGAATTAGAAAGTGAGGAAGCCGCTTGTTGAAGCAAAATATTTTGAAACTGTTTATCCCTGCTGATTGTCGAACCAGCCATCGTGGCCGGAACAGTCTATTATTTTTGGTCTGAAATTAAAAAAGCCTGAGGGGCGGGGGCAATAATTGCCAATTTAGGTTCCCAATTAAAATGAGCCGCGATAATTTTTGCCGTGACATTTACCCTCTCTTCCCTAACCCTGCTTTATTATTTGTGAAAAATATCCGACCTAAAAAAACAAATCGCCAAAATTAAGCAAAAAATATATCGGTTGGAAAGGAGTTAAGCCTCCTTGTTAAACCATTAACAAAAATTTTACATTATTTAAAATAAGTTATATCTATGGAACCAATTATTATTAAAAGTTCATCAATTTCTATCTCTCCCCAAAAAATGAACCTGGTGGCAGGAGTAATCCGGAAAAAAAACTTAGAATATTCCTTAAAAGTATTGGAATTTTTGCCAAAAAAAGGGGGGCGGATACTTCACAAACTATTACAAAGAGCCGCTAAAAATTTAGAAAAAAGCCAGGAAAATTTAAGTAATTTTTATTTAAGTAAAATTGAAGTAAACCAAGGAAAAATCCAAAAAAGAGCAATCTATCGGGCTAAGGGTCGAACTAACCGGATAAGAAAGAGGTATAGCTTAATTAATTTACATTTAAGTAAAAAAGAGGTGGTTGCTAAGGCAAAAACACTAAAATAAATAATATATAATATTAAAACCATGAATAAAGTTAAGAATAATATTCACCAATGTAGGCAATGCAATAAAAGTTTTTCAGAGCAAGAAGTTTACCGAATTGGGATAAAACAAAAACACTTTTACTGCCGGGAGTGTGCTAAAAACATCAAAAGCGAATGTATGTGGTGTGGCAAAGAGTTAGAGCAAAAAAAGTGAAAGAGACGATACGGGTATGGAATTAAATCGGAGGAAGGAAAATTAGCAGAAACTATTGACCGAGACAATATTGACGGCGATAGACATCACCGCTATTATTTAATTTGCGAAGAAGGAAAAGAATGAGGTATCCGCCCTAACGGCAGTTGTGCCAGTCGGCATAACGATTGATGGGTCGAAAAAGGGAATAAAAAGCGACTAAAAAGGAAAAGTGAGGGCTGAAAAGAGTGCCAAGGAAAAGCAATTTATTATAAAGACCCCGAAACCGGGAAGGAAATAGTTAATATGAATTGCTGGAAGTTAATTCCGCCAGGGG